AATACAAGCATTCCTGTTCCTTTCCATACCTTTCCCCTCTACCTTACTGGTGAAGAGTTGCGAGCCATTCAGGACTGAAACTGTGAGAGCGATGAGCAACGTCACCAAACAAAACCAACACCCTGGGAGAAACTGCTTGAAAAGCTGATTCCTACACATGGACGACAGTCTGGAAACTCTGCTGTTGGATGTTCTGGATGACAGACAGAGGCAAACACGATGTCAACCCAGGAAAATCTCTTCACAGCCCGTCAAACATAAACTTGGGTGTGTCTCACAGTTTCCATCAGAGACTTTACCTGAAATGCAACGCTCAACATTTCAGGCCTACATGACAATATCACATCATTTTCACGAGCAACAATGTGATTCTACTCAAACTTTTTTTTGCAATCTACTGTATGTGCTAATACACAAGAGGATATGTGAAGCACATGGCTCACACAATCACATCAATCTTGGGATATTTGGGGCGGTAAAACACGTCAGCAAGAGCTAGACCGCTAAAATCAGCCAGGCCACTATATCGACTGATATTAAAACAGAGGTGCTAGACCAGCTCTGCACTGTACATACCACACCAGTATTGACTTAATGTATTCTACTTTATCCTGGCTGCCTGTCAAAAACCAGACTTCATCCAAGTATCCTGTTGTTAACCAGGAACGCAATTTTCTCTGGCAAACATGAATTCTTTTGAGCTCAGCTTAAATATACCAATCAAAAACATGAACACTGAAGAAGAAGAGTCAGTTATGTCTTCCAAGACCTAAAACAGATTATTTGAAAGATGTACACAGAGTTTCCTCAGACTGGAACCTTTTACCGATCTACCTTAAACAAATCTCTAATCCAAAGAGTTTCAAACCACAAGTCAAATATATAATATAGTTATTATGGTGTTATGTAAAGACATTTATGTGTTAGTTTCCGCCTTATTTTACACTGACTGTGTTATCCATTTTAAAATGTATGTTTTATTTTATTTCCTCTTGTAACCTTTGTTCTTTAATAACTGTTAATATAAAGATCTTGTCCCGTATATATTTCCTATACGGCAGGAAGACAAGCAACTGTGTCAGCAGAAGCTAATAAGGATCCTCTTCACAATGCAGTAAAGAAATACCAAACTGTGCCTGAGGTAATCTAATAGTGTGTCGGCGTTGTATCATTTTTCCACCAGAGATCACGGACAAGTTCATTTTTCCAATGTAAATCAAATCTAAGGGAGCCATATCAAGACTGTTGTTTTATGTTGATATATCACAATCAGAATTTCTAAACCTCCATATACTGATCATCAGTACTGGCCTCAAACATCCAGTATCCGTTGGGCTGTTATGATAGATTATTTTTGTTGTAAAGATCATTTTGTGTATGGTTTTCATTTCTAATTTATAATAATTTCAAGCTAAGTATCACATTATCACAATACTCCAATCCAAAGATGCATGGAAAATAAGGAGTTAGGATAAACAACAACTGACACAATGACTGACTGACTCTGGGTAGCAAAAGGCCAGATGTGAAACAGCCATGTTTAGTTTTGTTTAGTTTAATTCATTTATTTATTCAGACCGGGACAATGCAATTCAACATCGTTTTAAAGCAGGGTATGAATCTAATGTGAGTTTATAGCTATTGCTAATTCTCGACTCCTGTCGCTAGTTGGGGTTTTACATGTGTAATGGAATTAAAACAGTCAATAGCAAAAACAACACGAAACAGACAACATCATTGATAATACCCTACAGTGTCTCCAAGCAGCTGACTAAAGCTGCTCTTTGTCAGCATTTAAAAACAGAAGTCACTGACATCACACGACAAAAATATACATCATTGCAAAGAGAAACCAACATCAACACTACTCAGTGGACAGTTTTGTCTTCGACAGTGACAGACACTGACTAATGGCCACCATGTTCTCCACTTACACTGAGCTTAGCAAAAACAGTGTGAACCAGGAAATAGCTCTTAACAGCTCCCAGCTATCAGGGATCATAACGTGCTGCCTGAGCTTGGAATGATTCAGATCTCATTGATTGTTGTGCTGTTTATGGACAGAAATAGTTGGTGGAGTGTGTCTGACACACACACACACACACACACACACACACACAACTCACAGCTGCACGAGAACATCAAACACACTGATGAAGTTTAGACAGACCACAGACAATTTGTGTTTTCAGGTTTGAATGCTAGCAATACTGCTCCCAGCATGCTTTGCATCTCTCATCAGCCTTACAGAGACTCCAGCACTGTTAATGCACCTATGAACGGGCCTCTTCATTGCTTGCCATGGCAACCGGTAAACAGTGGACACCTCGCTGCCAGCTCGGTAGTCATCAACATATTGTTCACGGGTGGAGGGCGGGGCGTAGGGGATACCCAGCGCTGCTGACTTCTGCTGGTGTGTGCTGAAGCAATTTTTAAAAAAATGACTCGTCCACACGGACTCAAACACTTAGCCCATTTTTCAGCAGTAAACAATACGACAGTAGTGGCTGGTCAGTGATGTAGCGTTGATGCAGAAACAACAACAAAGCGGCCATTATTCAAGAACCAGACCACAACAATACAACAACAGACACTCACAGCCTAACATCCATCCCTCGATCCATCCATTAAACCAGCTGCGCACCAATGAATGAACAAAACCCACAGAGCACCTATCATGGGATATACATAACCTAGAGTCAGTCACGTACGGACCGAAGTGTCATCATATCAACTGAGACAGTCTGTCTGAAATCCTCGTTTTTTTATCAGCTCCAAACACATTTCCCAGATATCAGTGTAATAAGACTTCTCTGTACTATTCCATGAAGGCCAAGTTGGAACAAACGTTGGCCCACACTGCTGCCTTGTCTGAAGTCCGGCTCTTATGCAATAATGACCAAACTCATCACATCTGACTACTGACCATCTAATACATTTACATAATCGATCATTTACTGTCTCGGAGGACAGAGTGGTAGTCTGATGGCATTATAATCAAGCCTGTGACTGTAAGACTGAAACTCTGGACTGTGGTGTAGTAAACACAAACTGGTTTAGTGGGATTACTCAGCAGTCAAGAGCTGAAAACTGTGGGAGGGCTGCATAGGTGTGACCCTCCCTCGATGACCCCATGTCCCTTCACTATGACATTCCTCCTATGCTGCTGATAACATGAACAAGTTTGAAGTTGTCTTGCTTAATTAAACACAATCTCCTTTTGGTTTTGGGTGGTCATTTGTGCAGATACCACTATAACAACAAACATGGGCCTGAAGAGCTAATTATCACAAAAACAAGTTCTCCAACACAAAATCATTATGTTCCCCAAGAGAACAGGATTTAAAGATGTGGAAAAAGTTTCCTGATAAACAAACAGAGCTTCGTGTTCAGCGTTAAAAATGTTCTGAGTAGGCCTGACATACCTCACTTGGCCCCAACATAGACAAGCCATTAACTCACAATAGAGCCATCGCTACAGATAATAACCGGTGTCTGCAGATATATAATAAATGATTTATAAGCTGCCAATTTGCTGCATCTGCACACTGCAGAGCCTTTTAAGCTTGGGACCAACTGTTACTTAGCAGTAAGGTGAAGCAGGGGGAGAGAGGGGGATAAATAAGGAGGGAAACCAGGGTCTGAGGGGAATGGGGTCTGCAGGGGGTTGTGGCTGCATTAGTGTTAGTGTATGTCTCCTGGCTTTGTTCTAGCTTTTTTTTTTTGTTGTTACAAGGCAGTGTATGTGTGAGTGCATGACTGATGTGTGATGCCTGCATGACTGTGTTTTCATGTTTTATTGTGTGTGTGTGTGTGTGTGTGTGTGTGTGTGCGTGTGAGCAGCAGTGAGCCCAGCATGGGGCTAGTGTCTGGAGCATGTAATTGAAACATGGTCCCATGCAGCGCTACACAGTGACCCCACTAATCTCCTCCTGACAAAGTGGCTTAGCTTGTATAGGGTCATATGGCACAGCGAGGCAGCTTAAACACAACAGAGCGTGCGGCTCGACCTGCCACAGCCGACAGACCCTGGAGCCCTCCTGCATTCAACAGGTCGCACCCAGCAACTCATTAGTTAGGATGCACTTCAGGAATCAAAAAAAAGTTTTAAAAAAAAAAGAAAAAAAGAAAAAAAGGTAAAGTTTTAGATTTGTAGTCGAAGTTGATGCAACCCCTACGCATGTGCAAACAATGACTAGCAAACCATAAATTACAGCAAACAAAACTTCTTCGCCCAGCCCGAGTCTGAGACCACTTTCCCATTCACTTTTGGATGGGACTGACTTTTGGACCCCACTGTAAGCAATTCATTAATCTTTTCAGAGGCTGGCAGAAGAAGTTGTGGTTGCTGTAAATTATGCTATGCTGCTATGATACCATGTACTATAATAGCAGGACAATCAGTATTGTAATCATTGGTAATAAGTTGTATACAGAAAGTGTATGTGTTGAACTTGAAACCCTGATTTCCTAAAACTGTCTGTCAGCAGTCACACAGTAAAGATATGCCTCCTGTGTGACTGCTGTGCTAAATTACACAACTTCTTAATTAGATGAGTACCCCCTGGGCAGATTGGTAAATGGTGATCAGAGAGAATTTTAAAAGGGAAAAAAAAAACCCTGCAAGTATTCATTTAGTCTTCGCTGCTCTTTACATTAGCTTTTTTTTTTTTTAGTTTTGTTCAGCCTTTGCAGTGAAATTTTATCTGTAAGTAAACACAGCTTCTCAGTAAGGTCGCAGACCTTTAGCTATGTGGTTCAGAAGTGGGACACCAAAAGGACACTAAAGGGATTTAGTAGTTTGTTTGCAATGACAGCTCAATGTGGACTGTAATTTTATCTTTTTTAATTATCTAGACAAAATACACAAAGCCTAACATAGCCTATCCCATCTTTCTAAACTGTTCTGTTCAAAGACCTTAGTTTGCATTTTCCTATGAAAGCAGATCTGACCTAACAAACATTTCAACTCTTTGTTCAAACACTTCCTCTGTGCTTACCTTTCCTCTGTAGGAACAGCCTGAGGAGAGGGCTGGCAGTGGAGATGGCCTTGTGGTAGTTGTCATCATTGTTGATGGGCAGCAGGTCACCGTGCACGTCTGCGTAGCCCACCAACAACTCCACGTTGGGGATGCGATGCACGTGCTGCAGGAGGCCATAGAACTCGTCAAATCGGCCCGGCTTTGACCGATCCAGAGAGAACCGACGAAACTCTGCACCAAACTGGGACGGGACACACAGGTAAACATGTGAGCACAATCGCACAAACAAATATACACATAGTTATGAAGAAAAAGAGTCTAATTTAAGAGCCAAAGCAAAACAGCCTGAGATGTAGTAAAACACTAATGCATACATACAATATATGCACGAAATATTAATGAACATCTCTTCAAAGAGTCTGAGATTTGAGGATGTGACTGATAAGCACACACTAAGCTGCACTGGTAGCTTTCATGATTTCAAAACCACTGTAGGCTGTGTGTAAGAGAGCTGTCCTCCATGTGGACAAGCTCAAACACACCACATGTAGTGAATTATTAATGTAGACTTTGTGACGTGTGCATCTCTATCTTTCTGTGTTTGTAGATGTAGCATGTTTAAGACCGAGCAGTGCCGTCTAATGAAGCTGCCTGACAGAACGATTGGTATGCAGGTGTTGTAAGAAAGACAATACAGCACACATGTATTCCCACAAAACACGTCACTGGCTTCTGAGTAACATCATAATCAGCCTGGCTGGATCAATGGCTGCAAATGCCTGATTTTGGGCACAGTGTCCCATTGGTGGTGTTGATGACAAGTACCAAGTGTTGTGGTTACTGTTGCCCAGCGCTGACAAATGATGATCTACAATTCACTGCCAGCCTGAACACTGGTCATCTAATGCATTAGTGCAAAACAGGATCATATTAATTACAGGTTAGGGAAAATAATGGTCCCAGGGCTGTTTCTGGTAAGTACTTGCATTAAAGCATGAGAAGACAAAACTTTTTAAATGACCCTGGACTGCTCAGTTTGGGACGCAAATAATAAGTACATGGTTACTTTATGTGACGTTAGCAGTTACAACCTATATTGCAACTGCTAACTTAAGAGGTAGAGCCACAAAAAAAAAACCAGGCCAGAGTTTGTGTCAACACATGTAACTAGTTCTTAAAAACTAGTTTTGAGCAGCAAACAGCGCCTCAGGGCCCATTCCTCAGCATACGTGTGTAATCGTGCCACAGGCAGGAGGCAGACAGCCTGTGGCGGAAGGAGCCATGAGCCTGTCGCAGGCCGTATGACACCTGTACGCACAGGAATATGACATGACAAGCAGCTTCTAACACATCAAACCAGGTTAATTTGACACAAACGTAGTGAAAATTGTGTGAATGTCCCACTGGATTATGCCAAGAGGAAAACTTCATCCACACTTTGAGTCAGTATTTGGTAAGAGAGCAGGAGTGGGGGGGGGGTGTGGAGGAGGCTGTGACAGGTGACAGTGTCTCACTGTGGCGTCAGCTGACAATAACCTCCACCTACACCTACAAACTTACTAGCTAGCTACCAAACTTATCGGATCGACTTATAATCGAGCTACGCCACGCTTTACATCAAAGTTTTAAATATGGCGAGCTACCAGCGAGCTAGTCAGAGTAACAGAACCGGTGTTGGCTAGTTAAGCTTTAGCTCGTATCTATGTAATTTGTACGATATCATAACTTGCTATCAAGCCACTTAGCAGGCTAATTTTAGCCTGAATAATAACCGCAAGCAGAGTTGAGATTTACAAATACAGCACGGTAAACTGACAAATAAGTCTCCATATGCACCTTGCTCTTCACCTCCACGGCACTCAGAGAACGGTTGCTCGGCACTCGGTGGTTTTTGTTCATGTTTCGCTAGCAGCGGGACCGCCGCCAAAACCCACTCACACACTCGCCCTGATCCTGCCGCCGCCGCCGCCGCTGTGTATCCAAAATCCGTATGTGTGAACCAGTTATTTCTTCAGTAACACGGAGTGTCCCGCGACTTCTCGACGTCCGACGTGTTGTGTTGTGTTGTCTCTCCAAGAATGTGACAACGGCTGCCAGCCAGCCAGCCAGCCTAGCTCAGCCCCGTGTACTTATCTCCTCTCATAGTTGCTGATGCCAGCGCTGCTACAACACAACTACTACGTACTGTGCCTCTGTTTTACCTCTGCCTATGACTCTACCTCTGTCTGTGTCTCTCTCCCTCTCTCCCTCTCTCCCTGTGCCTAGAGAGCTGGCGACAACAGACTTCAAAGTAAAAGACGCAGCCTCTGTCTTTCGCTAACCCTTGACTTCAAAATAAAAGCCCTCTACCTCCCAGCTCCCATTAGACAGAATGTGATCACCTTAATATTCACACATAATGTCACTGTAACTGAAATCATTATGACGTGATGACATTTATTTATTTATTTGTTTGTTTGTTTGTTTGTTTGTCTGCAGGGTAAAACATAAAATTACTATAAAAATGTATGATATGTATACACACACACACACGCGCGCGCACACACACACACACACGCTCTCATGCTGTATACACAAACACACACAAGGAGCTAAAAGTTTATACAAAGACCTCCTCTAGAAACTCAAGGCAAAACAAACAGAATTATACTAAACAAAAACAACAAGTGACAGAAAGACTACTTCAAAAAAGAAGAAGTAGAAGAATCAGTGAAAAAATATAAATGTCCTAATGTTCACCAATCAAAACTGTAATTTGAATAAACAAAGATGATGAACAATATGTAAGTCTGAATTTTAACATTAAACATCCAAAGCCCTTTCAACATCCCCTTTAGGAACTATTACTATACCATTGAAATTATTACCGTCTAACCTATAAATAACTAATATCAGTAAGTATCTATACATATACACATACATATATGCTACTATACTACTTTGTAATAAGGATATGAAGAATCAATTAGATTTTAACTAGAAATACATTTGCCATTATATTTTACAATGTGTGTGTATCATCAGCATATTTGATAGGGTTACTATTTATAGTAAATACCAAGTATATTAAAGGAGTCGTTACAATGTCCCATATAGCGCTACATAAAAATTTATGTGGGTAATAAATGTAAAATGTTATGGATGACTGCAGCTGGTTTCTTACTGTATAGTGACATCTTTTGGCCAAAAGGCATATAGGCCTACTGCTGCAGGCTGCTTACCCAGTGTATGCATGTACTTTCATATGTATACGCTGCATAGTTATAAGTACAGTACGTCCACATTATATAGTGATAGTGATTCATGTTAATTTCTCCTTGAAGAAAATAACATTTTAGATCAGTGTTTTATCTCATAGTTTATAATGAATTACTTTTATGGCAGCCAGTCAAACATGCCAGATCTTCAAAGTTCATCAAGCTTTTAATTAAATAGTGACAAATTAATAACCTAAAAACCTAAAAAAAAAAAAAAACCATCACTTTCTTTCTTTAGTCAGTTTATCTTAAACTGAAAAATGTTTCACCTTTATTATTTTTTAATCAAGTACATGGAGTTTGGGCAACAGCTTCCCAGCATGGCTCTCTCATGTTTTAACCTGAGCAAAACTCCACCCATCCAGAATAACTGGAATCACCTGTGAGGATGTTGTAGGGTCTCTAAAATATTCCACTGTTATACATGCATACATGATATCAAAGTAAATAAATAAACTCCTTGAAGTTTATGATGGAAGATGTGAGGAAAAAAGAACAAAGGGTGAATCATACACTTAAATTAATAATGACTGAATTCCATGTATTTAGACGCACTCACTGACAAGACATCACTTTATATACAAAGTCAAAATGTTATCAGCTGTGCGGCTTTCATCAGTGTCACAGTCGTGGAGTGTAGCTGCCTTTTAAATAACAAATACACAGTGACTTCCCTCAAGATAATTAGTATTGCACCCGGCAAGGCAATCAAATACATGACAATCAATGTGCATCCAGCATTAGTACAAGAAACTAGTGGAAACTAGTTCACCACAGGAAAATGTGGGATTCCAACAATTAGATACCACAGTTAAACAGCTGAGACAGAACATGTGTACATAAGAATTTAATAGCAGGAAGGACCTATGTAATCTAATAATGGATCCAGGTGTACACTGTAGACTCCAGGCATGCAGCCATTCATAAAAATACTTCCAAATGCAACATCATTTCATCACTGAAACACGACTGGATTGTATTCTTCATTCAGGCCGTTAGCATGCATGTCCTTCCCAAACAATTCAACCAGAGTTTCATCAGTCCTCAAAACATTTTCCCAGAAGCAATCTAGAGTGTCATGGTGCTCTTTTGCAAACTCCAGGCAGCAACTTCCTCCATACACCGTGATCTATGTATGGCAGACTCATGAAGCTGATGTTAACCAGCTCCAATTCTTCTTCTTATTTCTTTTAGCCTTTAGCTGTTACTCTGAGGTTCTCTGTTACCTTACTGACGCCCACTAGCCACAGAACTAAATCATCTCCATTTATAGACAGCTTGTCTGACTGTAGACTGATGAATATCTCAACTCTTTGACATGACTCTGTAACCTTTTCCCTTCCAGCTTTATTTAAATCAACGATTCTTGATAAGTCTAAGTCTTCTGTCAAAGTTAGAGTCAGCTCTAAGCCATACCGCCCATCTGCCTACAATGTGAATCTTTGAATGATGTTTTCAGTATGAGCAAGAACTAAACAATGATTTGTGTGTTATTAGTTAAAACAGTTTTGTGTTTGTTCATAATTGTAAATTAGATGAAGATCTGACCATATTTTAAGACAAATTATACATAAATGCAGCTAATTCCAAAGGGTTCACTTACTTTTTTCTTGCCACTGTAATGACTTCTATTAAGGCAATGACAAGCCAAGCATGTACTCTTATTATAAAACCAAGTAATACATATTTAATCATATCAATTTAGGACTCAGGAAGAGTATTAGAGTGGATTATGGTTTTCCCATAGAAAGAGCAGAATGAGGAATGTGGTTTCCAGGGTCATATGATTCTCCAAAAACTTAATCCAACCCAGACTTCAGGAATATAAGCTAATGAAGCGTGCTACCACAAAACAATGTTGCATTAGCACTACCATAGAAATATTGAAAAATTCAATCTCCATCAAAACGAGTGTCACTGTAACTTTTGCTGAATACGCTGAATTTGGCCTCAATTTCACAAGCTTTTCTTGAGTCAGCTGCTTTAGAGACATCATCATGTTTATCTGTGACATGATAATATGTAGTTTAACAGGACCACGAGAATAGAAGAGTCATAAAGTCAGCAGACATATATATTCAACCTTCAATAACTGATTTTCTGGACTCTTGGGGGCAGTGGAAACACAACAGAACAAACAATCAGCAAACAATCACTCATTTAGACATTCAAAATACATGCAGCAACATTAGCTCTTTTTAGCTACAGTGGGGTCCAAAACAAAGTGGCCTCAGACTTTTGGACCCCACTGTATGTTTTGGTTTCAAGCAACTCCTGAGAAAATGATCTGACTCTTTTGCTGCTAAATGCTCCCCTATATTCTTAGCTGGTTGCCAACTTTTCTTCTCTTATGTTTTGGTGCTAAGCTGAAATGCTGCAGCCGAAAACAATCAGACTGAACCGAAACAGTAAAACCAAAACAATGAGCTGAAGGACGCACTAAAATTCAGAGGGGTTGAGCAGAACCAGAGATTTTATGATAATCCTCATTGCATCATTATGAGCGCCTCCTTTTGCAAACAAATAGTCATTGATAATATGAAAATACTGATTATAGCTGCTTTAATATGAGTTACGCATCATGTATCTAAAGTTTCTTAACATTAGCCAACATACGCTAACTGGTCATACCAGACAGAGAAGGGCTGTAGCAGCAAAAACCTTAAGTGTAATGAAATGAGCAAAGGTGTGCTTTATTCATCTCTTTGTTTGTAAGAAGAAAGTTGTGTTATTTCTTCTAAATTTTACACAGTCTGGCTTCAAAACACAAATAAAAACATGAGAGTAAATTACAATTTTGTACTTCCAGGTGTGACTTCAAACCCATCACTACCATGTGCTAAATTTTACCGCATTAGATCCCTGCTAACCAGTTTGTAAAGCACCTCACCATCATCATGCCTGCATTGATTTTTTTTTTTAGTCAAAGTTAAATTGCACTGTTGAGTCTGCAGACTTTAGAAAAAACCTCAGCACTAACAGTTACCCTAACTGAAAGAGCACAGCAAACAGCTCCAGGGATAAAGAGTGAAGTTTTTCCTCTTGCACTAATATATACATATATATATATATA